CTTTTCCCTCTCTCTCTCTTTATCTCTCTTCGTTCCTTAGTTAAAAACGTTTGCAGAGGAACGTATATGAAGACGCAACATCGCCGACGATCGTCCCTAGAATGTCCTAAGCGCGTCCAGTTTCACCTCTGCTTTCTCGTCAACGGGCGTGCGTACTCGGTGCCCGAGACAACGTCGAGGAGCACGCACGCGGTAACTCTCTCGTCTTCTTCGTGCGTGCCTATCGTTTCGGTTTTTTGTCTCTCCGACGGATCGAAAGCGAGTCCACGCGCGCGAGGAGATCGATCACATCGGGAAACGTTGAACAAGAACCTCGAGCTCGTTCGAATTGTACGATGAAAGGAAAACAGAGAGAGCGAGAGAGACAGAAGAGGAATGGAGAAAGGATTTATACTAAAGCACAAATCCAAAGTGTCCCTAGATGAGAATCAGAGTTGAAGAGAAGACAAGTGAAAGGAAGAGATGGGCGGACAGCGAGAGTTTACAGAGAGAAAGAGTGAGAGAGAAGGAGAAAGAGAGACAAAGAGGAAAGGAGGAGAGAACGCAGGAAAGAAATACGATGAAGAATGAACACACCCACGCAGGAGATTTAGAAGCGATTGTACGAGCCTGTACGTAACTCTGACGGGCGCGTGTCTTTCGTATCACGTACGAATGCGGCGGAGCTACTAGCTAGCGCGAGGTAAAAGCGACGGAGCGAGGCTCTCCCCCAAGCTGATCCTGCGTGCTAAACGAGCCGCTACGCTGCCACTCGCTCCCCACTTTCCCCTCCACCCTTTCCCCACGCCGGATCTCTCTCGCAGTGTCTGCTTTGCGCCGCTTCCACCACCCGCCGCTACTACCCACCGTTATTCCATCCTCCATCGCGTCCACCACCAACGCTACCTTAACCGTTCTCCTCGACTTTCCCCTGTTTTCCTCCTTCTCTCCACTAGCGTTTCTACTACGTGCGCATCGACGTGCCCAGCTGCTACACGCGTGTCTCTACGGCTATCACGTATTTACGACACGCGTGATTCCCTTGGCGGGAAAGCGAGAAATGGAAAAAGTTTGTGAACGGGTTAATTGTCACCGAGGAGACACCTGATCGAATTTTCGGTTCTGTCAGTTTTCTTTACGGGAACGTTTCGATTTCTTATCGTGGTAGTTCAGTGTGCTGGCTTGTTTAGCGTCGCTCGGCAGGGTTTTGGTCGGGTCACGGAAGAGCTTTTGAATTAATTGTCGATCGAATGCGAATTTATTCGTTGTTTGAGGTATTTGTATACGAGGTTACTAATATGTACGTATACCTGTACTTAATTTGCTTCGTTAGCAGGACATATTCAAATTAGTAGGTAGAATTTATGGTAATTGTGCGTAATTATTAGTTGATTGGGGTATTCAATTTACAAAAAGTTATATCGCCAATTATCATAAACCAACGTACTTATTTGACACAATTAGAGTAATGCACAACGCTGTTACTAGTACCTACCTACAATTAGAATTTCGACGTTGATGTGTTGAATGAAGCATGACTCAGAGAAATGTCATGGAATTTGTTCACTTTCATTATTTCCGGTAATAGTTTGTTACTAATATCCAGTCAAACGATTACTGATGTGAATACATTTTTATTGTGAATATTTTTCTCGTAATTGCTTCTTGTGTTATTAAAAAATAATACATTTTACTAGAACCATTTTCGTGTTTATATTAATCTATCACTTGCAAAAGCTGTATAGTCTACGTAGGAAAATTCAAAACGACTGACAGTTTTTACACGAACAAGTATTCGAAGGAAATCCTTCTATCTTTGATCATTCTTTATTGAAATTTCATTTCGTTTCTAATAATACATAGAATAAAAGTAAAGAAGGTGTACATCTTCACATACATCAGGAGAATACTTCTGTTTTCTTTTTCCAATATATACACCCGTAGGATGTTTCCAAAATTGTATTACTAGAAATTAAGTGAATGTGCATGGAAAAGTAAGTCATAAATATAAAATAAAATTTTCTCGTTGTAGACCGCATTCTCCAAAGAATTGACTTCGATTTATCCAACACGCCTGTGCTGATATAAGTGGAAATGGTCAGTCTCGGACAGACATATTCGCCGATTACGATACAATAGAACATATAAACGCTTGATATACAATTATCTCGAAGATAAAACATCACCTGGAAAAAATGTTATTTTGCGTTTTGTACTTACTTTTTCAGATAAAATAATAAAGTACTGCATAAAGTAATTTGCACTTATGAAAAATATTTAATGTTAAAAGACACAACGTCATACAAATTAATTTTTTTATGATTTTTAAATGGCATAAATTTTCAGGTACCTATAATGCAAACCATCTTTTAAATATGCGTTGATTATATTAAATAAGTAGTATAATTTCATCAACTATGATTAGACGAATTCGTGGTACTTTTGCCCTTAAATCCATCTGAACAATTATTAGCCATAATAATAATAATAATAATGATGATGATAATAACAACAATAATAATAATAATAATAATAATAATAATAATAATAATAATAATAATAATAATAATAATATTTCCCGATCAGCAAAGAAAGAAATTTTCTGTGATAAAATATTAATTTTAGAAAACATAGTGAACATACATGATTTCTTAAATGACTCTATAATCGTAAATAACACGTTTTTGTATCTAAACATTTTATTTTTCGCAATACTAGTTATTCCTAAGGAGAATGTTTTAATTCCATTTTTTATATTAAAAGCACGTTGCTTGATAGTAGCATATTTAAACAAAGATTTTTATATACAACCTAATGTCAGTTTATAATATTAAAGGATATAAACGTAAATAATATTAAAGGATATAAGCGTAAATAATTTAGCTTATATACTTTATCATAGATATCATACAAACATATTATCACTCGAAAGAAAAAAAACTTTTTCTTATACAGCTATAGTATGTGTTCCTAATAATTAATATTCCTTTCTCTTCGAGTTCAATTCAAATAACCCCAAACGCGTGTATTACTACACTAGAACTCCGTTTACATCAACAGGCCAAAAGACATGATAGTTTATATAATTGAATGGTTCGTATAATAGAATCTCACCAAATCTTCCCACTACCTACACTTATCAGATGTGATAGTGAAAGCTACGATTTAGACGATTAGATTCCAACTTGTATATGTATAAATATTTTACATACGATTTATCTAAACTAAAATATCCAAATTATAAGAAACAATGAATAATATTCACAATTAGTAATACTTTATTAAAAATATAATTAGATCCGCCGTTGGAACTCAGTCTATACAATAATATCATAACTCTGAATTCACGTATTATGCTTTGAACTCATTGCAAGCCTGTTCATATACATGAAGTACAGATAAACGGAGTTCTACTGTGTTTCAATTACAACATTAATCTGCCAATTTGTAACATTCAATGTTTCATTTTATTTCGCATTCCTTGAATAATTGTTCACACAACTGCAAGTACGGTCGATTTCATTATTATGAATAAAGATATCGTCACCAATTAATCGTCGCGCGGACGAAATTGCACGCTGTTGCAGTATCTCAAGGTATCACGCGGCTATTAATTTTTAATTAATCCAAACCACGTCTCCCGCTTCATAAACAGAAATGCAGTACTAAACCATTATCGACCCTCCAGTATGTTTTACCCTTGGCTGCACACATATTTCTTAGTAGGTTCTTCCTTTAAGCTTTCATACATAGGGTGTGCCGTTTAAGTGTGTACGGTAGAATATCTCGTAAAGTATTGAAGCTGGAAAGAAAATGTCCTTACAAAAGTTGTTTGGTATGAAGGGGCACATTATGTATTATGAATGTTATTTCCATAGCTAAATAGGTGGAGGAGATATCACGGTTAAGTTAATGTTTTTAAATGAAATTATACATCTTTTTTCTACAATGTAACAGCGGATTTTTACACCAATTCGATGATGTGCAACATGATATTATTCCGTATATTAAATTATAAATGTTGAATATCGCTAAATTCGTCTGAAAACTCACTATTACATTGTAGAGAAAAAGATGTATGATTCCATTAAAAAAAATTACCTTGACCTTGACATCTTCCCCATCCACCTAGCTATGAACATAACATTAATGCCACATAATGTGCGCCTTCATACCAAACAACTTCTGTAAGAACATTTTTACTCTTTACTTTAATACTTTACGAGATATTCCACACAACATACTTAAATGACACATTCTGTATACCGATACCTTTTATTAGCAATAATTTAGAAATGTTAATGGACTGCCCATGAGATTTCTTTACAATTTTCCGTTCGCCAATGACAGTGTCCTCGAATACATTGTAGCAGTTTCTATCTCTGTGACACTATAGCTGTTTGATAACAGCGCATCCTCTTATGGTCTGCTTTTTTTTAAAAAGAACATTGAGGTACAGTCACAATGGTTATCCACATTCGGAGAGATGACGTTTGGGTGTTTGGAGCTAGAAGGTCAGCTATTGTGACTACCGGTGTATCTCAGAGACCTTCTTTCGAAAAGAGACCATAGTTCCGATAAACGTAGAGGAAGTCCGATAAACTGTTAAGGTGGCAATCGATGCTCCGGTAGAATGCCTGTAGACCTTCCTTTCGATCAACTGAATATATCGTCCCACGATGCAATAACTGCAGTCATAAACGTTTTCTACCACATTCTTTTATCTTTCAGACTGTGTGCGTCATTTCTTGCTTTCAACGGATCCAGTTTCATTAGATTCCATTCGTATGCTTTAAACTGTTATACTCGAAAATTTACATTTTTGGCAATTTTTCTTTATTTGAGACATTGTAAATTATAAAAAATTCACCTAATGTATTTTCAATTCTGGTTGTTGTATTGTTAATTTCCTATGCGAATAAAGATTGTTGAAAATAGAAATAGTAACAGTATACCGAAGTTATTCGAAAGCACAAGGAAGTATTATCATCGTACTTTCTGGTCGATATATAGTACCTTCTGGTACATATTTTATGTTGCAAGAATCAAGAAGCAATTTTTGTAAATTGTTATATATTGAATATCACTTGTCGACTTTTCATTTTTAAAAACTATCTATGCGTTAATTATATATATTTATAAAAAATTAACGACAACACTTCCTTGTGCTGTCGAATAATTTCAGTACATTGTTACTGTTATTTTTATTTTTAAAGATTATTTTATAGACTACTTTAAATAGAATGATATAGGTACATTTTTAATTGATTTCTGTACATAAAAGTATTTAAAAAATCATTAAAGGATAGAATGTGATATTTGTCACGTACAAATATATTTTTCAGTTTATTTGATAACCTAAGATGTTTGTGAAACAAAATCTAACTATGCAATGCAATGTAGTAATATGTATTTATATGAAAGCTATCAAAGAAAGATACAGAGTTACAAGGAATGTGCAGAGGGGAACGACGATTGTTGACATCAAGAATTTCTAGTAAATTTCGTGCACTGCTAGCTTATTCCATTTTCTTAAAGAAAAATGAAATCTATGCCACGACTTTCTTGAGTGATTTTCACAGAAATAGAGTTTACTTTATTATACGAAAATGTAATTAAATTCTATTTCACATACTCCATTTTTACAATAAACTGAAAATTACTGCGTAACGGTCTCGTTCGCTTGAACAATTATATAAGCATATTTGTAATGTAATGAAAATGTATGTAATTGTAT